CACACGCACACATACACACACACACACACACACACACACACACACACACACACACAGTAACTGTGAGTTACAAACACTACTGTTATTAACAACAGAGCCAGTGACACATGGGTGAAGCACAACACTTTATTATTATCATTATACTGCTGGTTATGGATATACGGCTGATGACACAAACCTACAAAAACAACATGCAACAGGACTCAGGAGTGTATGATTGGTGGTTCAGACAATATGTATGACATCTTACCATGTGAGCCCGACCAATTAAACGAACTGAGTCCCAATTCAGAGGCTGCATCTTTCAAAGGCCGCGAAAGTCAAACCCAGTGCTTTTAAACTAATAGGATTGCTCTTGTCAGACTCAGCTAGCAACAGCGACAGCTGCCACTGATAAGCAACTGGACTGAAAACAAAACAGGGTTCACTACTTGTTTAATTATGCTCACCTTTGTCCACTTATCTGCATAATAAAGTATAAATAATCTATAAAATTGCATCTTAGTAAGACATTACAGCAACATTTTTTTTCTAACTTTAGATATTTGATTAAGTTGAAACCCAATACTTGCACTTAAAGGTGCTGTATGTAATTTTTTTGACTGTACTAAAGCATAAAAATACCATAAAATGTAAGGAAACGTGCTAAGTTCACATACTTGTTTCTCTGAAAAACAATGCTACAGCCAGGTATTCTACTTTGAAATGAGCCAGTTATTCTACTATGTGACTCCGCCCACTTCCCAATAGTACCCAATAGTATTTCAATAGCCCAGGTTGCCAGTTGGTGGAAAACAGAGCGTATTGCAGCCACAGAAGTGAGCAAATGAACTGGGTCAGAGATCGTAGATTCTACCCAAACTAAAGAGCCTCGGCATCCATCTAAAATGCTCTATGAGCAGAGGAATATTAAAACGCGATAAATCAACTCATCAACTTACAGGGTAAGGCTCGTCGCCTTCCTTTTCGCTCGTTCCTGTTACGTATCCTCAATCTGAAAACCTGTATGAGCGGCGAGTCTCAGGAGAAGGGGGCATTTTAACTGCTAGCTGCAATATTACATAGTGCACCTTTAAAAGCCTAAAAAATTGCCGCACAATGAATCTTGGGATAGTCTGTGCTGTGAAGGACCCATCTGATATATCCTTCATGGTCCAGAAACACCACATCTGATGCATTCGGCCTTAAAATGCAGCCTCTGAATTGGCACACAGCTACAGAATGAGAGGACATGTGTGCAGCTGTGTGCTCAATATTAGCGAAGAACTCGAAATGTGATCACCTAGCTGTCATCTGAATTACGGTGTCTGAAAATGCAACATACATGCAGTTACTTCACTGGATTCTGAATCTGTAGCAGCGTTACAGCCCGTTACAACTCAACCCTAATCCTAACCCTGTTAACTCTAACACTTTACTTTGATGGTCACCTTTAAACACTGTTGACTATATGTAACTTTGCAAGTACATGTCCACTTATTCTACTAACCCTAACAGTCTATTAATACTCTAATGAGAGTTAGTTGACATGTAGTTGCAAAGTTAATTATAGTTGTCTAAAGGGGACCATCAAATAAAGTTGAACTGTCCTAACATCAGCAGGCAGGGCGGGGTGTGTCCTCCAAGTGTTCAGTTTTATATGTGTGGCGGGTTATTTTATATATGAGCTGAAGTACACATAGCTGGTGAAGGTGAAGCTGTCCTGTAGTTTCTGCACCGCTGTCGGCTCTCAGCCCAGTGTTCTGCGGCGGCTCTCAGCTGAGCTCCTGATCGCCGGTGCTCGCGGGGTTGCCGTGGAGACCCCCGTTGAGCAAGGGCTGCACGGAGGGCCGTGATTGGCCCATGAGGCTGCTGCGGTGGTTTGTGCTGGAGCTCTTGCGTCTGCTGGGGTTAGCGTGAGCGTCGGGGCAGGACTCCACACGCGTGACCGTGTACAGGCTGCTCTGGCGGTTCTGCTGGAAACGGGTGCTCT